TAACACTGCTGCTACTCTGAAACCTTTCATGCTGATGATTCTCTCGTTTAAAAGAAAGGTGTTAATTACATTTGTGACTGAACTCTTTGGGGGAGAATTGTATGTCCCCTGCTCTGTTTTACCTGCATTCTGCCATATATTTCATGTTATAGCGGTCTCAGATGATGACCCAGCACATGTTGTTCATTTTAAGAATATATTCTTTATAACTTTCACTGCAGATTTCACAAAACGCAAAGAAGGTACCAATGTGAGATTTCTAAAGATCGCTACAGCACTTGACCCAAGGTTTCAGAATCTGAAGTGCCTTCCAAAATCTGAGAGGGACAAGGTGTGGACCATGTTTTCAGAAGTCTTAAAAGGGCAACACTCAGATGCGGAAACTACAGAATCTGAACCACCATAAAAGAAAATCAACCATCTGACTCAGATAATGAAAATGAACATGCATTGGTCTGCATTGCTTTGGATTATTATCAAGCAAAACCCATCATCAGTATGGATGTATGTCCCCTGGAATGGTGGTTGAAGCATGAAGGGACATATGAATCTTTAGCACATATGGCATGTAAATATCTTGCAACGCCAGCTACAACAGTGTCATGCAAATGCCTGTTCTCACTTTCAGATGACAGTTGTAAACAAGAAGTGGGCAGCATTATCTTCTGCAAATGTAAACAAACTTATTTGTCTGAGCAATTGGCTGAACAAGAAGTAGGATTGAGTGGAGTTGGAGGCTCTAAAATTTTACATTGTTTTATATTTGAATGCAGGGGTTTTTTTTTACATAAGTCTACATTTGTAAGTTCAACTTTCATGATAAAGAGATTGCACTATGGTATTTGTAATAGGTTAATTGAAAAATACTATTTCTTTTGTGTTTTTACAATGCAAATATTTATAATACAAAATAAATATAAAGTGAGCACTGTACACTTTGTATTCTGTGTTGTAACTGAAATCAATATATTTGAAAATGTAGAAAACATCCACAAATATTTAAATAGTATTCTATTATTGTTTAACAGTGCGATTAATAGCACGATTAATCGTGATTAATTTTTTTAATCTCTCAAAAGCTCTAATAAATATTATTCCCATTTTTACAGATGGGGAAACCAAGGCACCAAAAAGTCAAGGCCAATATTTTTAAAAGTGTATAGTGGTTTGAGGTATAGGGTGTCCATATTTCCCAAAGGGAAAACAGGACACCACATAGAGCTGACCCAAGTTCTCCCCTCCTCCTCCCCCGCCGTGGGGCTGGCCCGAACTGCTTGTCCCTGCCCACCTCTCCTCTCCCCCCTCTCCCAGCCCCCTCCCCCACAATGCTGTCACTGGTCGCGCCAGCTCTGCCTCCCACCCTGCGCCAGGCTGGCATTGCTGATCGGCCCCCGCACATTCCTTTGCACAACATCCCACTTTTTTGACAAATGTGGGCATTTGTCCCATTTGCTCTTGCCAACTGAACAAGTTGCTAAGAGCAAAGGGGACAAATGCCCACTTTTGCCAAAAAAGTCAGAACAGCTGAGACAGGGCTTAAAAAAGGGACTGTCCTGGCCAAAACGGGACGTATGGTCACCATACTTGACATATCTCAGCTTTTGGGTATCCAACTTGACATACCTGAAGCCTGATTTTCAGAAATGTTGAGCATTCACAACTCCATTTGAACTCAACGTCACACAGGCCCAGGTCATGAAGGAATGGATTGCCACTGAGATCTCCCCAACTCCACATTACACCTGGAGTGCTTTTGCCCTTTTACTTTTGGCAGCAAAGACTTCCTGTGGAAAATTCTAAACCTCCAGTTAAGAACAATGTTCAGGTTTTTGGAGGAGGCGATTAAAGGCCTTCTGATATGTGGTGCTTTTCCTTGGGGACCTTTGACCTCCTTTGTACTAGGACACAACACTATCTGCAGTAGGTATGAATCAATCCATCCTTTTAGCAGAGTTTTCTAGCAAAGGATAGGAATTAGGGACTAATTCTCTGGTACTCCATTTCTGCACTCAGCTCAGCATAGCAAAGTTCAGGGGAAAGGTGGCTTCAAACTACCATTGCATTCCATTTATTCTGGGCCCATCTGGGGACCTGCCTTGCTCCCAGTGTAGATGAGGGCTCCCTCGAATAATAGCTGGCGTGCAGGCAATGCTTTGGCCACAGCTGTTTCCTCTTGGCCAACCTCCAACCTACCCTGTATACTGACCTGTGTGGCCTTCTATGCTGAGGGTATTTTCCAGAGGCTAGAGGGCAATGGAGAAATCAGCCTTAGGGCTTGCTGCAGAGAACTGCTGCCTCCACTCATATCAGTTAATAGGGGGCTTCTATGCTATCAGTGAGAAACACTTCATCTGCCTCCCTCCAAAACTGAGCATGTGAGCTCTGCAACATTCCCACTACCTGCTTGATCTGGGAGCATGGGACTGAGCTCAGAATCAGCACTTGACTCTCCAAATACACTGCATAGTACAAAATGTAACTGCTGGGCTCTCTGGTCAGTGTGTAGAGGGCTCCACTTCCTTTCTCTCTCATCATGCTCATCCTAGCCAGTCTACCCACTCAGAAAGGGGGACTCCCCCAAAGTCAATAAACTTTCATGAGATGTAAGCGAATAATACATGCCAGGCCTCATCTTGCTGTTTACAGTGTAAAACTGATGTGAGATCAGAATCAGACCTGCCACATTTTGCAGTTATACTGAAAAGCCTGCATGCCATCTGTACATTTTGGGGGAGAGGGAGGGAGAGATGAGGCTGAAGCCCTGTTCTTCACCTATTGGAGAAGTCTGGGAATTCCTTAAGAAGTGTTCATCATGCAGCAAGTTATTTTGGGGTTTTGTTTTTTTCCCCTGTTTATTTTTAATAGAAATTTCTTACAACCAAACTACAAGAGTTACACACACACACACACACAAGAAATAGTATTACTGTGCTTTAAGAATACTGGGGGGAAAATCCTCCAACTCCCCCCAATCTCCCCCCTCCCCCCCAAAACAGTGACATAAAATTTAATCAAAGCCAGATCTTGCTTGAACATCAGGAAGAAAATTCTTAAGAATGAGATCTCTTAGAGTGTTGAATAATCTCCCAAAGGAAGTGGTGGAAGC